TTTCCCTCCAGTGCCCTTTCTCAATTTATTTATTTATTTTTTTAACATTTATTTAGTGTGTGTGTGTGTGTGTGTGTGTGTCTGTATGTGTGTGGCCGGCTCAGCCCACCAGGGGGCGCGGCTGGCCGGCATGTGGTGCTGGGGGATCGAACCACGGTCCCTGATGTTTTGCCAAGCTTGTTCCAAGTAGGTGCTTTAGACCACTGAGCCATCTCTCCAGCCCCAGGGGGTCAGGTTTTGGGTGTGTTGTGAGCCCCATCTATAGCATTGCCAGACACAAACTAGCCAGCAAATAAGTAGATGAGCAGTAATTTCTGTACAGATTTGGTATGAAGGTAAGAGGAAGCAAACTTCCTTTTTCCCTTTACACTTGCCCCGCTTTACTCATTTCAGGTACCACGTGTGTGGGGTTGTGTCTCCTTCCACCAAGCAAGCAGTTATCCAGTGGTTCTAGCCAGGTACCTGCAGCACTATCTGCCTGGAGGTACTGGAGGTGCCGTGCCCAGTCCAGATGCTCCTTGTGAGAGTGGGTTCCGACCTCCCTCTCCTGAGCTTATTTTGCTAGAGCTGCTCACCAGGTTTGGGGAAACACTGCCTGTGTTTACCACTTTATTAGTACAGGGTGTGGAAAAGGACACCAAGGACAGCCTGACAGAGGGATGGGCAGGGCCAGGTATTTGGGAGGGAGAGGCTGCCAGGGAGCCACCCCAGATCCCATGTGAAATCAGCAAGCAGGAGGCTCTCCAAACCCAGGCGCTTGGTTTTCATGGAGGCGTCATTCCATGGGTGTGATTAGCCCATGTTGGCCATTGGCAATCCCCTTAACCTCTGGGCTGCTCTTCCCTGGAGGCTGTAGGTGGGGATGAGGGTTCCCACCTCCTAATGGTGCCTGGGTCTTTTGGTGATGGCCCCATCCTGAAGCTACGTGGGAGTCCCAACCACCAGGGATTTTATCAGTGTACGAGAGACACCCAGGTTTGGAATTCCCAGGGTTTTAGGAACTGGGTACCAGGTGTGGGACAGAGAGCAAATATGTATTTCCCAGTAGCACAGAAGGATATTCATATTTTTCCACATCTTACCCGTTTGTTCCTACAAGGTGGGGTTGCTAGATTTTAATTTTCAAGTGGAGTATGTACATATGTGCTTGTGTATAGACGTGTGTGTGCCGTCTAAATGTGTACTGTAACCACTCGCTGATGAGTGCTTTCCTGAAGAATTCTTCCCTCACTCTGGGGTCGCTGTCCTTCCTGGCACCTGGATTGCAGCCAGTGTTCCCCGTTGAGTCCTTCCCTAGCCTTTTTATTTTTAGTATGTTTAGTTGTGATAGCACCAGTAGTTGAACCCAGGGCCTTCACCCTGAGCCTTCACCAGCTCCTTATTACTGTTTTTTGAATTTTGAGGCCGGTCTTGCTCAGTTACTCAGGCCTGCCTCAGCCTCCCAGCATGCTGGGCTTATTTCAGGCACAGGCCATGCCACCCATTCCCAGACATTTTTATTTTACTCAGAGACAAAATCTAAATTGCCCAAGCTGGGCCTTCAGAACTTTGGCTCCTCCTGTCTCAGTCTCCTGAGGAGCTGTTACTACAAATGTGCAGCACCATGTCCTTTAACATTTTTTTAAAAAATTTATTTATTTATTTATTTATTTTGTGTGTGTGTGTGTGTGTGTGTGTGTGTGTGTATGTGGCCAGCTCAGCCCACCAGGGGGCGCGGCTGGCTAGCATGTGGTGCTGGGGGATCGAACCGCGGTCCCTGTGCTTTGCCAAGCTTGTTCTGAGTAGGTGCTTTAGACCACTGAGCCATCTCACCAGCCCCTCCTGTAACATTTTTTATATTTTAGCTAACTTGGTAAGTTACCAAGGCTGGGCTCAAATTTATTATCCTCCTGCCTCAGCCTCCTAAACTGCTGGAATCAGAAGCATGCACCACTATATCCAGGGTGGCTCACTTAATTTGTCATCGTATCTCACTTTTCTTGCTTAACGAGTTGGACATTTTCCATATCTGTCTATATAAACACACTGTAATGTTTTATTGCTATATAATCTTTTATCTTTGGTTATATGATAACTGGTTTAACCAGTCACCTGTTGCTTCTCCGGGACTTTATTTTTCTATTATTTATTTTATTTTATTTTTTTTAATTATTTAATTATTTATTTATTTTAACATTTATTTAGTGTGTGTGTGTGTGTGTGTGTGTGTGTGTGTGTATGTGGCCAGCTCAGCCCACCAGGGGGCGCGGCTGGCTAGCATGTGGTGCTGGGGGATCGAACCGCGGTCCCTGTGCTTTGCCAAGCTTGTTCCAAGTAGGTGCTTTAGACCACTGAGCCATCTCTCCAGCCCCTAAAGAATTGGTTTTTGTTGTTGTTGTTTTGTTTTTTTCTTTTTTTGAACCAGGGATTGAACTCAGGCCCTCAGGCTTGCCAGTCTATTATTTATTTTATATAAGTGGTACAGGGTCTCACTGCGCAACTTGGACTCATAGTGATCCTCCCGCTTTCAGCCTCCCCAACACTGGGATTACAGGCGTGCAGCAGCACGCGTGGACTCGGTCGCTGGCTCAGCATGCCCTGGGCAGGACTGGTACTGCATGTGGTGCTGAGGATCCAACCCTGGTTCCAGTAGGGGATCTGGACTTCCTCCAGGCAGTCAAATAACTGGAGCAGATTGTCACGCTGCACACCTGTGTTCAGCTGGCTGGAAACTACTGCCTAGGACTCTAGCCACTGGGTCAGTGTCCAGCTTGTTCGTTAGCTGACGTGGCTGTAGGGACATGTTATGGGAAGTAGTGAATTCATGCTGTTTCTCTTTGTTGACAGAGTGTGCTCCCCTCCTACACACACACACACACACACACACACACGCACACACACTGGACTAGAGCCCACGGAGTACTGAGTTACGTCTCCAGCTTTATTTGCAGTGCTGAAGACTGAACCCAGTACCTTTGCCCTGAGCTACATCCCAGCCCTATGTTCAGTTTTTATTTTATGAGAAAGTCTTGCTGAGTCCCATTTGCCCAAGCTGAGCTCAAATTAGGATCCTTCTGCCTCAGCCTTCCAAGAAGCTGGGATTACTCTCCCGAGCTCTGCTATGTTTCTGTCTGTGGTGTGTTGTGTGCGTGTATTATTTTTTTGTGGCACTAGGGATTGGGCATTGAACCCATGGCATTCTCACTGAGCTGCATCCGGTGTCTCACCAAATGGTTAACCTGCCCAGGCTGGGCTCAAGCTCTGATCTTCCTGATCGTCCTGCTGCAGCCGCTGACAGTGCCACGATTGCAGGCCACACCCAGCTTCTGCTGTTTCCCTTTCTAGATGCAGCGATAAAATGATTTCCTCAGAGTTGTTCTCCAGGTGTGGCGGCAGCACTGCGGGGTGTTGGAAGCGCACTGTGCCCTTGAGGCACAGTTTAAGGGCTGCTGCTTTAGATGTGGAAGCCGTGGGAGCTGCCAGAACCTGCGCCTCTTCCAAACATAAACTGCAAGTTGCTTTTTTTGGCGGAACTGGGGATTGAACTCAGGCCCTTGTGCTTGCCAGGGAAGTGCTTATCCCACTGAGCCATCTCCTCGGCCCCCTGGAAGTTGCTTTTAAAGATAGTCTCCATATTAGTCTGTCTTGGGACTAACCTCACTTTCAGAGGGGCTGTCTAGAAAAGATGATTATACACTGTCTCTGTTCCCTTGATTCTGGGTGCCCACGCTTTGGTTCCCATGTCTTGGAGTAAGCCGGGCAAGGCAGTTGGAGGTCTTTTTTTACAAATCAAGAATACAGTCTTTTATTTCCAAGTGAGTATTACACAACATATACATATATTTAGATATATATAAAACAAAGAATAAACTGTACGAAGAAATATTGGTCTGAGATTGCCTTATCGGACAACTTTAATTCTCTAAATTTAATTCTCTCAGTACAAGTATCTCCCCACACAGACAGGTGGCAGGAGAAACTCCAGCAGTCACGTGTCACTCAAAGCACTGCTGATCCCCACTGTACTTACGACGCAGTTACAAAGTTATGGTCATGAGTGTCCATGACAAGCTGACCGTAGCACAGTAAAGTAATAAATGGTTTTTGCATCGTTCTCCAGGTCGTTTCCTTAAGAGTCATGTTCAGGGTCTGTCTCTCGAGTTGCACTCCAGTTATTGCTTTGCCTTGTTCTGAACTGGGAGATACAGTTTGAACTCTGCTGGCAGTTCATCTTCTGAGTAGAGCCTGTCTGAGAAGTAAACTCTTCGTTTGCGGCAGTTTGCGTGGATCTGTACTCGGAGGGTCTCGATGTAGTTTGTGCCATATGTCCGCCGGGTGAAGTCAGATAAGTTGAACTGAATCTGGTTCCAGCCGTCATCCAGCCGTATGGGCATGGTACAGGTGAAGGGTTTGACACGAGTGGTGCTTTGATAGTTACTTGCCTAAAATCACCGACACACATTCTTGTCATCTAGTACCTGTACTTCAAAGGTAAAATATTTCTTCAGGTTTTTGATAATCATGACAAGGAAAGGAAGCTTAATTCCCAGTGTCTTCTTAGGGCCTGCAGGACATGTGATGTATGTAGTGCTGACATTTGTCCCTTCAATTTCTAGCACCAGGGACTGGATGTCATTATCAGTGATTCTTTTGATGTGGCCATTCCGCACCTTTTTGTCCCGGATCTGCAGGGGCTTGCTGCCAATGCTGTAGAGGATCCAGTTAGAGGTCTTTATTGTGCAGAAACAGGTTCTTTACAAGTAGGTAGTGTCCAACTTTTCCTAGAGCAGGAAACTTTCTCACAAGGCAGTGCCGCTGGTGCTTTCCTGAGAGCCGTGAGCTTGGGTACTTCAGGCCGAGGGCCCTGGCATCTGTGTTCCTAACCAGCCCTCCTGGGTGCTGTGGGTGTTTGCCCACCCACCATCGCATGGCATAGCTGGAGAGCAGAATTGTGTCCCAGTTAGGCCTGCCGTACTCCTCCTGCCTGGCTCTTGACTTTTTCACACACATCCTTCTTTTAGAGCCTGGACTATGACCGCTGCATCAATGACCCTTACCTGGAAGTACTGGAGACCATGGATAATAAGGTGAGTCCACCGTTCCTCAGATATCTGCTCTTCTAAAAGCCCTGGTAAGTGATCTTACCCCTCAGACTTAACTCTTTCATGAGACATTGGCACGTAATTCCCAGAACCTTCCTCCTGTCAACCAGAGACCCACAGTGGTCTGCCTCCTGGCTCCTTGTCATTCTTGTATCATGAGGCACCTGAGATGTGAGACCTACCCCTCTGCGTGCATGGGATTTGGCCGGGATGTATGCCTTCCCCACTGCCAACGCTGCCCTGTAACAGTGGGATTTGTTCTTTTCCTTGTAAGCAGAAAGGGCGAAGGTACGAGGCAGTGAAGTGGATGGTGGTGTTTGCCATTGGAGTCTGCACCGGGCTGGTGAGCAGTGGGACGTGGGGGTGGTGGCCACGAGGGAAAAGCCCTGGGCTGGCAGATGCTCTTTGTCCTTTATAACATTGTAACAATTGTTATAATCAAGATTGCTGCTGTTTTTTCTTTTTCCTTTCCTTTTTATTTTTGTAGTACTGGAAATCGAACCCAGGCCCTTCACACTAAGCTACATCCCAGCCCTTTTAAGATTTATTTTGAGAGAGGGTCTCACTAAGTTGGTAAATGGCCTCGGCTGGACTTGCATTTGTGATCCTCCTGCCTCAGCCCTGCAGAATGCTGGCTCTGCAGGCATGTACCACTGTGCCCTGCTTTCTTTTTCTGATTAACAGTCCTAGCCCAGATTTTTATACTTTCCTTACTTTTGTGTATGAAATGAAACTGAAAATATAGAACTCTAGGTTCTTTCACGGAGATTTGGTCAAATACCTGTCTAATGATGTGGTTGAGTCATACCCTGTAATCAGCTCAGCCAGCTAGACAGCGTGCCTGTGGCAGATGACACGGCACGTAGTGCACACATTGAGGTCACATTGAGGTCATGCTGTCCTGAGCTGCTCCTGCTCTCAGCCGATCTTGTCTAGAAAGCAGAGCTGGCAGTCACGGGGGAGGTTGAGCCTGAATGGATGGGGTGCCTGGGCTCTGCAGGTTCGCAGCGACACACAGGCAGGAAAGGTGCATGCGTCGTCCGAGGTTCCGACAGCAGCACGACTGCTGGTTTAGCATTGCTAAGCCTGAAGAAGAAAAGCTGGAAAACCCAGCAGCCAGCCAGGTGTGGCGTACCCGTGTGATCGCAGCACTTGGGAGGCCGAGGCAGGAGGATGGCCCTGAGTTCAGGGTGACTCTGGGCTGCAGAGTGAGTTCAAAGCCAGCCTGTACTGTATACCAAGACTCTGCCTGCCTGAGAACACCAGAAGAAAGAAGGAAAAGCCAGCAGCCAGCCAGAAGATACAGTCAGATCTGATTTCCCATCAGACAGTGTTGGAAAGGGGCAGCGGTCTGACTTCCTCCTTTGTCTGGAGTTGTCACAGCCTCTTACTTAATGCTTTGTGATACATTTGTGTGGCTGAGCATGTATTTAAAGTGGTGCTGCCCGAGGGCCACACACAGCTTCTATTTTCTTGGCATCTGTCTTTTTTACTGTAGTAAATTGACACGGAACATCTACTAGGGGAGACGAAGGGCCCTCAGGGAGCCTCCCCACAAGCTCCCTGAAGGAACCATCATGGGGTAGGGGCTCTGGGGTGCTGCAGTGTGTTGTTGAAATCTGAGCATTTATTTTTACTACATAGCTTTCTGGTTGCAGACTCCCCTTTACTAAGCATATTTATTGACCATATAACTGTTGGTCTTGCTGCTACTGTCCATCAAAAGCCTCTGAATTTCCAGAGCTGCAGTAGCAGCTTCTCTGCAGAAAGACCACCTCCTTTCTAATGCCACTCTACAGGTATCATTTGATCTGTCACCACTCTTGCTCAGTGGTCACGAGCTTCCGGGCATTGGCTTGAGGGGAGACCGGAGGTAAAGGCAGGGAGCCTTTGATCCTGACCTGGTAAAATTAAGCTTTCAAGGTCCCACTTACATGAGTGAAATAGTGGAATGCAAGTTGCTTCCTATATTCCGGTAACCACTGGCCATGGGATAATTCCAATTCAAAATAACAAGTTCGAAAGCCAGGCATGGTGGCACATGCTTGTAATCCCAGCACTCGGGAGGCTGAAGCAAGAGGATCGTTGCAAGTTCAAGACCAGCCTGGGCTATCAAGTGAGCTCAAAGCCAGCCTGAACTGCATACTGAGGCCCTGTGTCAAAAAGACAAAATAACAAGTTCTATAAAATGCTAATGACAAACATGAGAAACCCTGTATGCCTAAGTAAGTGATGGCTTCTTAAGCAATATCTTAAGCTATAGCTTACCCCACGTGAAAAGCCCTGGAGACGTATCAAATAGTCTTTGAATCTACCTTTCAGAAGAGTGCAGTGCTTCCCCGCGCAGTTTAGTACTTAGTTTTTAAGCACGTCGGTGGTTGCTCTGGTCTCCCATCTTCTTCTGCATTCTTTCCCTTTTGGTTTTACTCTGCTTCACTCCACTTGGCTGTGCGCTTTCCTCTGTTGTCTGGAGGGACAGCATGGCCAGGCTGGCGTAGGGATCTCCTCGGAAGCAAGTGACTGGCAGGCTGGGTGTAGTCCCGAGTTGCTGGGTGGTAACTCGGGCAGCTGCCTTCAACGTGTGGAGGAAGGTGATGCTTCAGAGAGCATGTGAACGTGTGCTGTCCCTGGGAACGAGGCCTTGGGACGTGTCTCGTCTTTACAGGTGGGACTCTTCGTGGACTTCTTTGTGCGGCTGTTCACCCAACTCAAGTTTGGAGTGGTTCAGACATGTATCCTTTCCATGGCTCTGTGGCGCATGGACTTCGAGGTCTCTGACACTCTGGGCCAGATGCGGGCTTAGCACTGAACGTATTTGAAGGGTTACTTACTAGCCATTCAGTTTGAGGGTTAATTATCATCAAAGGCTACAAAAGGAAGACTTCACAGGACAGACCATGTTTTGGTTGGTAAGGTGCAATGTCATGAAGCTGCCTGGCCTCCCAGTCTATAAATTCAGTGTTCTAATCAAGCCTCCGATAGAATGTATTGTGGAGATTAAAAGAAAAATCTCCTACATTTATATAGAAGAGCAAAGGGCCAAAAGTAGTTGAAAAAGTTTTGAACAACAACAAAATTAGGTGTCAAAACGTTGGCTTTTTTTTTTTTTTTTTTTTTTTTTT